AGCTACCATTATACTGCCGAGACCACCTATCATCAAACAAGTCGCGTATTGATATTGATAAAGAAGAGCCTAAACGTTGACAATCCTGTCATTTATTTTAATTGTAACCAAATCTTACGTCTTGTGGTACACTGATCTTTTGCGACATTCTGTATTCTGTCAACTTACAGCCGATAATATAAAACATGAGATGAAGAAAAAGCCATTCTAAAAGTTCGAATGTATTACTCCATTTTGATCTAGCATAACAAATCTGGATAAGTGCATTGTTTAACAACAAACAAATAAATCAATTTTTAATTTTTGGTTGACGGATTTTTTGTTTGTTCTTCTGTTTTCTCTTTGGTGTTGTCACTTCTACAGTAAGAGCCGTGGTTGCTTTCATCGTGTTTCAAACAGTATGACGTATATAACAATGCTCGAATTGCTAAAGATCAAAAACAAATGAGCATGGACCAATAGATAGCAAGTAAATCACTTCCCCTATCAAGAAAATTCAATGTACGACAGAATAAAAAAACATATACATATTGTCACTTACTGCGGAAGAGGTCACCGTAGAGGTCATCCAGTTGAGTTTCTTCTATTTTTTTCGTGTTATCTTTAGTCTATCTTGCTTATATTTCTGTCCTAGTAACATGTCTTCATAGGATTGAAAGTATTTGAATTCAATGATGAAACAACAGCAAGTAGCATGCAAGAATATTATTTTCATAGGAAAACAACTATGCATAAAACTCATAGAAGCGAAATATAGGGTAACTGTACATGACATCGTAGAAACCGATAATAGATATGTAATCTGTTAAAATAAGACATGTAAAAATAATTAAATTTCTCAATTCAAATGCTAACTAATCAATCAATTTAAAGCAAAATCATTTCTTTTACATTTATCATAATTGAGTCAATTATTTTATTTGAACTACTAGCGCATCATTCACTCAAATCAAAAACACGATTCAAAAGCATGCAAATAATGTATAAAGTATATGAAAAACTACAGTTAATTTATACACAAAAGACAAATGAATACAGAACTAAAAATTGTTAAAACAGAAATACATATGTTCTACTTCATATCAACGCACTTATGGTAATCGACTTTGGTTAATTATGGAAAATATCGTTTCATCAGTTAGCTTCGGTACATTGTCAAAAAAAAGTCCAATTGAACATGCTATGAGAGTAAAAAGTCCACTTATTCGATACATAATGAATCGATCCTAAAAGATAATACAAGCATGACAAATAAAAACATTATTATGATAAATAAGTCAGTGAGTTGTCGAACATGCACATCGATATGTACTATAAGATCGATTGTTTTCTAAATGAACACATACTTTACTTATATTTGTCAAATTCACATTAGTCAACACGAGTCGACCTGATTCAATGGCAATTATCATCCATATGATCTCTGCTGTACTGATAATTAAAAAAGAGATGGTCGTTTTAGTTTGCCACCATGTGTACGATCTTTTTCCTAAAATTTCAGAACAGAATTATTCATTTTTACTGATGACAAGAATAGAAGTTTTATGAGCGGTCATCATTAATATCTCTATAAACCAGAAAAAAATTAAACAATAAAATTATACTGACCAACGACATAATAATGTTTGATGCAAAGAAGAATAATTCTTTCGATTCTGACGAGAAACATACTAACAATTATGCGTACTGACAAAGCTGCTACCATAATACCAATAAGACTAATCATAAAACAATATATCCATTGATATCGATAAAGAAAAGCCTAAACTGAAAACTTTTGTCATTTATTTTCAATATAATCAAAACTTACGTCTTTAGGAAGACTTCTGAGTTGTGTGAAGCCGTATCGAATCGTTTCACAACCAACGACATTTAAAATGATGCAGAGAAAAATGAGTCCCAAAAGTTCAAGTTCAACATTGCATTCTGATCTTGTCTAAAATATTCACATAATAGATTCTTTCAAGAAGAAAGACAACCTAGCAAAATAATGTAAATAGCATTTTTCAATGTTGTCATAGCTAGAAATACAATAAGACTAATAATTATAATGCTTACATTCATATAAACTTGTTTGTTAGTTTTTGTCTTTTGTTGGCAAGCAACATGCTTATAATTTCGTTTTATTTTTGGTGTTGACGTTTCAGTCATGTTTAGATTAGAAACAGTAGTCATTTAAGTTGTGTTGTAAGGAATGTGTAACAAGTTAGTCAGTCTCTGTACGTTTCTATGTTCGAGTCAAATATGGTCAAATAAATGAGCATTCATCGACAGATTGCGAACCAATCATTTTCTGTGATACACTCCAACCTCAAATATAGCGAATGTACAAAACAAAGCAATGTATTTTTCTTGACCTAACTTGACCAAAGGTCATATAGAGGTCATCCAGTGAATCTATCTTACTGTTTCTCTCACTGTTCTGTTCCATTTTACTCACTCGTGTATTATTGTAGCTTATTTTCAGCCTTTGTCTGTGCTTATAGTAATAAAGAAAGTTCCATCTACTGTCAAAAAGCCTTTCGTCATAGTTCATAGATGTGGTTAATCTGAGCTCCTTATTAGAGTGAGATCTTCTCTAATTTTTTCTGAATAATTTCAATGTCTTGTCAACATAGTGATACTCCACATTGTTTGTTCTAGGGTTTGAGTAATAAATTTCTGCTGTATGACTCTCAAAATAACTTTTCATTGCCCACATCTTCATTTTCTATTACTGGCGCTAATCAACCTAAATACTTTCTAGAATCTTTTTGTCTATATTGGAAAAATGATGAACAAAAGCAGAAGTCAGATTATAATTCAATGAATTTTCGGATTTTATGGTGAAATTTGATCGCCATCAACTAATCAAACTCGTTAAAAGGAAGATGGTCATCGCCGACATATATTTGCTGTAGCAATCAGATAACGACTAATTGATTCATCATTGAATTTCATTTTGTTTTTGATAAAACAAATAGTTCATGAAGTTTAATATCAAATATCTTTGAAACAAGGAAACTTTGATTTACACGATTTACTGCAAGCGGATTTATTATTCGTTAGTTATTTTTCAATTTTAATTGTGTGTTTTTTTACAAAAAAATATATTCCAATTAGTTGTGTTTTTTGTATGAGAATTAACCGTTCGTTGATTATTTGGAGGCAAAGAAATAAGAGTTGTATTTATTAATTTTCTCATACCCAGTTGCGCATTCCTATATATATACACTATCGACCAAAAGTAACACTACCAGATGAAAACTACTTGAAATCTCAACCAGGGGTGTTACTCTATATTTACTTTATGAAATAAAGATAAATACAATCTTTATATTTGAAGGGTGTGGGTGTTAATCTAGAATATTATACGTTACACTCACAACGACTGAGACAGACACCCACACTCACATCCCGCACCCACACACCCACACCCAAACCCAAACCCACCAACACCTACACTTCACCCACACCCACACCCCACCCATACTCACACCCACCCACACCCCGCACTCACACACCCACACCCCACTTCAGAATGTAGAAAATAGTCTAGTTATCGAACTTGCATTTTTCAGACTGTATCATATAAATAATTTTCCCACACAAAAAAATAACATCAAAATATGAAAAGTAACACAACCTTAAATATCTTTTGATCTGCTACATGAAAATGAGCGGCTTAAACTGCTGCAACAAGTTTTTAAACTTGATCTTCTCTGACAATATTATACTTGAAATTCCGATATTTCTAGTACGATTCTGCGAAAATAAACCCTACCATTTTTCTCATTTGAGGGTCCACGGGAAAAAACGAAACGTACCACGAAAATCAGCTCGTTGAGCTCTACAAACTGATATATATCCCATTCAAAACTGAGCGTCACACTTGGGAACCTTCCCTCGTGAGTGGAGTACTGAGAAAACAGCTGATTGGGCCAGTTTCTGCCTTATGAAATCCTATTGGTTGAGTGCAGGAGCTAGAAAACAGCTGATTATGTCAGTTTCTGCCTTCTTAAATCCTATTCGTTGAGTGCAGGACCCAGAAAACATCTGATTGGCTAAATTTCTGCCTTATGAAACCCTATTGGTTGAGCGGGAGACCCAGGAAACGTCTGATTGGCTAAATTCCTGCATCCTGAAATCCTATTGGTTGAGTGGAGGTCTCAGAAAACAGCTGATTGAGTCAGTTTCTGCCTTCTGAAATCCTATTGGTTGAGTGTAGATCCAGAAAATATCTGATTGGGTTGTTCAGTAGAACTTTAGTCGGAAATGACCAATCTCTGCGACGAAGTCAGTTAGGCTCAAAGAGATTTGCAGCTTGCGAAAGGTCGAAAGAACATTTTTCTTGCTGTGCGAACGAAGGAACATACGAACAAACGAATTCACGAATGAACATAACAACTCATTTTTCGTAAGACACTCCTTTCAATAGAGAGGATAAATGTCTGATTAACCAGTTGACTTCTACATATTGGATGATAGTATAAATCCTATAAAAGAAATTGAT